ACGTACGCGTCGAGTGCGACGTGAGGAAACTTTATCCTCTACTCCTCATCCTCGTACTCCTCCTTCGCGTGGATGCAAGTAATTCGAAAGTCCTGCAAAAGCACTGGCGGCGTGGGCGAATGCTCCGTCGTGAATGCATGATGGAACAACAAGCCGCGTATGGACGGCGACCGCGCCAGCTCAACGTGGTTAATCGAAGCGATTAAAACCGGTCTCGCCCAAGGGTCATCCTCGCGTTCTCGTAGGGATACGCTGCGAGAGAGAAGAAGAGGGTGCTGCGTTTACAATCCCTTCGAGGGGGACGGGAAAGTTCAATTAAAAATCGACGTTCTATTAGTCGCACCTTTGTCGGCCGGGCTTTGTGTCTCATTAATATTCCGCGCAAGGTTCATGAAAATCGTCACGAGCGTGACGACCGTGAATCGAAGGGAGAAGTATTAGATCTGCATATCGAGGGAGAGAAAAAAAGAGATAAATAGAGAAAAAGAGAGAGAGAGAGAGAGAGAGATCGATGCGAGACCGACGTGAAAGGAGGAACCTGTCGGTAGCCGCGCTGGTTAATCGTCGTGGGTGGTAACGCAAGTGTTGGCGGTCAGGTAGGAAACGCCGAGGCCGAGGGTGTAATCGTTTCACCGAGGATACTTCTTCCTCCAACCTCGAGAGACCCGGAAGAGGCGAGATGCTGCCGGGGTGATACTGGATACGCCACTTCGCGGGCTGCGATTAGCGGCGATCCGGCGGCCGCGAACTCGAGTCCAATCCTTATCGCGATGCCGATCGTCTCGGAGGCCTCTTTACCCGCCGGCTCTATTACGGGCTTCGGGAGACGTGAAATACTAGGAGCGCGCCGCGTGTGCGCCATCGCTTTCGACGGAGGCTTGACGGTAGGTGGGCGCGAGAGAGCACCGATAGCGAAGCAGCCCGCTGTTGCTCTCATCGACGCCGCAATATGCGAGAAGCGTGCGAGATACCTCGCGATTAGCGCTCGACAGCGGGTGAGTGCGTCTGCCATTGCGGAGGTGAATATCTCTGAGAACGCGGAAAGGACGGCACGGAAAAACGTAGTAGTACTTCCAATGATATATTTATCCGGGAAAATATATTCGCGTGGAAATCGCGTGTATGCCAATCGGCTACGTTGATACGATTCGTTGCCCCACTTTTCGACACCGCGGACTGTTATCAGAGAGACTTGTACTTCGGCAATTCGAATGCTGCGACGGATTCCATACGGTGATTTATTAATAATAATATAATAATAATTTTAATAATTTGTTAAAAGGAAAGTAGAATGAGATCGTACGAAATGGTGTATCTCGCATAAATGAAAGGACGGAATCATGGGATGTGCCAAAGATCTGTTATGATATAATAATAATTTGAAGATCAAAGTTCCTAGAGGAATTCCTAAAAAATTCCTAACGTGCAAACTCGTAGAGCATCACGTTACATCCATGCACGATCGCTGCCCGCGAACTCAGTCGAGTTTTATTTGCACGACGTGAGAGACGTGCCTCGGAATTCGGGATTTATATCGGCAAGATAATAATTTCTAATTATAGAAATAGACAGAAATGCTAGGGAGCTGTTACGTAATATCATGTTTCGCTCGTGAAATTCTAACGCGGCGGCGAACTCCGCGATTTTATCCGCAAGGATCAGGAATCGTACGTCAAAATGCGTGTCGAGATTAAAGATGCTTGATAATGGATACGAGTGTATGCAATTACAGAAACAGATAATCTATAAGGGCGCATAGCGATGTAATTACCACGCGTGTGAAATGCAGCAACAGGGAGAAGTAAGTACATCCTTTCACAAATAAAATTTATCGGACAATATTTATCGGAAAATATAAGAATGAGTTGCTAAAATCGTACTAATTAAGATATTTTTTTAATGTTTATATCACACAAAAAACACAATTCAATTTGTCCAAATTTTGGTTGTGTGTGTGTGTGTTTTTTCCCATTATTCATCTTCCCTCGCCGACTACGAAATCTCAGATGCGTTTGTTTTCGACGCAACCGTTCGGCAGAAGGCGAGAAACACGCAGAACCGTCATCGTTCGTTGATATCGTCGTTTCCACCGGCGATCCGCCGGTATTCATAAATCAACGCGGGGTAGTACGTAAGGGATAATGACGAGGAACGAAGACGATGATGAAGAGTCTATGTGGAAGCGTCCGAACGTTACGACCGACAGAACGACTGATACGGCAGGTGATCGTGAATTTACGGCGCGCGATAGTATCGAAATGGAAAGTAACAGGCCGCGTTTAGTCTCGCGGAAGATTTCACGATCCTGCCGCGGGATTCAGCTCAGGTGTACCGGCTGGTGTGGTGATTCGCAAAATTGAGCGACAGTTGGAAAATTGAACTGTCAATCGCGACGAGATGATCGCGCCGTCGCGACGCCTTGGAGATTCGGTAAACGTTTAAAACGGCGTGCAACGTCGCAAAATCGAAAGATGGTAACATAAGAACCGAGACTCTGAGATTTCGCGGAAGGTGAGGGGGAGGTACTTACGAATCGATAAGTGAAATACACATAGGGGAGATAAGGACGAAGATAATGATGGAGATTCGACGCCGCAGCGTTTGTGCGATACAACCGCCGCCGCTGATACAGCGAGTAATGGAGAATTTATCGACCACGATGCTATCGAAAAGGAAAGTTATAGACTGCTCTTAGAATCAGAGAGTGTTTACGGATAGGATCGTATCGTGCGATAGTTTTCAGGCTCAACTTTCGTGTCCGAGATTGGTGTTTTTTCTACTTTCCGGGTATTGGTTTCGAGGAGAACGCGCTAACAGGTTTTACGCGCGACTAAACGCTTGAATTGAACGCGAAAATTGAAAGTCTCGGTAGCAAAATTTTCAATCGCGACCATTATCCTCTTCCATCTATCTTAAAATGGCTAGTCCGTAAATTCGTTTTCCTAGAAAACTTTTCTTTCAAATTATAACAGTTTTCGCGGAAATTTTTATGCTTTACAGAAAAATTTCAATGGACCGTTATTCACACAGAATTTTTTTACTGCGTATGACATATTCACAAACATATACCCAACACGAGCAGCTCCGGCCGAAAATATTATACGTCAAAGTGCGAAAAACGGTGACTTTTTTGATGACTTTTTAAACATTATGCAAGTTTGATCGATCTTCTTTTGCTGTAGTGTCAAAGCTGTGTATCACAAATATTTATAAACATTATATACATTTAACGCAGATTTGTCGAGCTTCTTCGCGTTGCATTAACTATTACCTTTCTAACAGTATTGTCACGGACCAAGTAGCTTAAATCGACTGAAGCACGCGATTCTGTTCTCAATTAGTCCTTGATGCTCGACAGTTCTTGCACTTTGCCTCGCCATCAACGCGTTACGAGTGCTCAGCGCTTTTACGCGAACGTTATAAAGATAATATGAAGAGATTGCGACAGAATACCGTAAATCCGAGACTGCAATGATTAGGCAGTCAATGCATCACGAAGACCACGGCGCGTTTCTCATCCGTATTTACAATCGATCGTGATTACGACGTACAACGCTGCGTCGTCGAAGCTGAAGTGACGACAAGCAAGAAACATCGTATGAGAGAAAGAGAGAAAGAGAGAGAAGAGTATTATAAGACGAGATAATGGTGTTATCAGCGATAATTCGTCGAATGTCTGTGTCCGTTCACTATGTATGATTGTAACTGCGAAATAACGACGAATGCAAGATTACTAATGCCTCGGCGGCACGTGGCGTAACGACCGGCGATTTTCCACCTACGATGATTGGAAGGTACAGGGAACCTTCCGGTGCATCCGATACGCGATAAAATATTTGTGTGGAAGGAAGCTAAGGCGCGACCGAAATGATCATCCGATATGGAAATACGAACGATAATGTATCCTCCGACCTGGTGATCAATTTGCATCAATATTTTATCTGCTAAGTTATACTCATCTTGTTACAGTTCATTAGTTGGATTGATCCTCCTCGAGCGAAATCGTAATTTTGCTCGACCTCGGGCGTTATCGGAGAAGTAATTTTTTCCTATAGAAACATTAGCCGATCTCGGTGGTTCGATGGTTCGATAAAATACTCACGTTTTCATACTTGCAGCATGAAAAAGTAGGGCAAAACGACTTCCATGACATATTTCGAGATTCCTCAAGTGCGAAGAGATTTACAGAATTAAAGTGGGAACAGGCTTTCAGCTCGGGTTGACACGCGTATCGCGTTTTTAAATAAAAAAAAAAAAAAAATGGAACGCCGTGAGCCCTTAATAAGCCCTTTGTATCTCATACCGCGCGTTAAATTTGTACGGGGATTCTTATTCAACGCCGGTTTTGCATTGTTTTGACGTAGCGCGCCATTAAGTCCCCGTTGAATAATGAAGGCACCGGATAATGCAGTAAGAGCGCACCGGGCTTGATGGAAGCCGCGGCTGCTTCGGGTTCGCAAGAAAGCTGAAAGAGTCGCAGCGAACTTCATCGTAAACTACGGAGCACTGCCGTGGCATTAATATTAAAATTACATTCACAGCATGAAAGCGGGAAAAAAAATATCGTAAAAATACCTGAATATAATTCGCTTCACATTGTTAGCATTAATCAGAGAATTTGGCGAAATCCTTTCGTCTGCGTGCGAAGAGACTGAAGAGGAATTTAATAAAATATATCCTTTCGAACGTAACGACGCTTCGAAAGGGCAGCGGCTGGATCCATCATCTCGTAGATACGAAATGAAATTCCGTATCGACGCTGACGAAAAGCCCCCGTCCGAGTCGCGTCTACTTTCGACCGAATCTCTCTCTGAAGAAGAGGCGCTTTTCTCCTCGGATCTCTTCGATTCTCATCACGGCCCATCCGGAGATTGGTCCGGACATATCACGTCGGCTGTACCGGTCGCGAGATACCGAGAGAAGACAGTGTGCACGCGTCTCGGCCACGCACAATCGTGCCCGAGTGTGACGCTAATACGGGAGGAATTCGTGAGGCTTACCAGCGAGACGGATCGCTGCTGAAGCTTGAGACCCAGATCCTCTTTTTCGTCCCCGCAGTCGGTCGTATAGAACAGCACGCTCTTCTTGGATCCCCTGAAATCAACCCTCGTTAGTGTCCCCGGCGGATAAGAAGCGCGCGAGCGAGCGAGCGCACGCGGCTGGTGCCTTATAGCTCTAAGCCCAGTTTACGTGACACGAAGGCGAGCCGGGATTCCGCGGTATAATCTGATTAGCCGGCGGCCATAATTCGATCGATAATCCGATCGGACACAATCGCTATCGGCCGCCCCAGTGCCGCGGTGCTAACGACTTCGAAAAGGTTCCGGCGGATCGCAGCTGCTTATCCCGAACACAATTAATAACTCGACATTTTGTGCGGTTGTTTGCAAAATGATAGAGAACTGCTCAGTTTAACCCGTTCTATCTTCACACGTGCGATTGGCAGAAAAGTTTCGGGCGTCCTATATAAAAGCGAAATTTAACTTCATATAATTTGGATTATATAATCTTGCTTATATGTGAGAACATGAATTAATATTAATTCTTTCCGTGCGCAGACGGTACTAGTGATTAACCGGACGCCGTTGTCGACAAAAAAATCGGATACGTCCTCTTGAGGGAACCTGGTGTTGTGTAAACGCGTCATCTGAACCTTCTTTCCGCCTGCTTCGATTTTCCCTTTGACTTCTCACTTCTTCCTCGGGCCGTCGCTGCGAAGCGCGGAAACACGAGCCAATGGAAATGACCACTGACCGTGTGCGGTCGTTCTCGAATTGCACTCCTCAATTACGAGCAATAAATCAACGCGCGATCGGCGGCCGGCCTGTCGCGGGTGATTAAAGTCGCGGATCGGCGGTGCAAGTCTGGTAAATGTGGCCGGCACTTATGATAATCGTACCTGAGCGCCTTCCCATTCCGGTTGAAGGGCTGATGTTCGACGAGCACGGGCGAATCCGCGTAGCACCGGCTCTCGCTCATAGCGACGACTACGGCATCGCAGCTCTTCCCAATCAGTCCACGTCACGTTGACATCTGCAATCGGAAGAACGGTTGTGTCACTATCGACTGCAGCACGATGCTGTTCTCTCTATAGAACTCGATCTAGCCGTATGAAAGATGGACGTATTCGAACGGGTCGGCGGGAAAATTTATCTACGCGAAGTTAAAGTGCCGAATAATCGGCTGGAATAGGAAGTCATTTTAATAGATTGATAATGACAATAATGATAACAATAAGAATAATAATGACAATGATAATAATAATAATGTAGTAATAATTAATGTTTATTTGTATATTTATATTTATTTAAATAATAACTTTATTGTGAATATTATTTCCCCAAGGGATTTAATCCTTAATTGCCAATTATCCTTGGCGCACGTGAAAATGGCCGAGAATAAAACGACACGGTAAGAGATTTCAAGATCGTAAAACTGAGAAGACCCAATTTTAAAAATCGAATATTTCGATCTTTGAACATGCGTGAGAAATTCCCTCGATCTACGCGTTCTTTCATCATCTCAGCTCATGTCAAACACATACATTTGACCCCGTTTATGTTTATCGCCGGACCACCGTGTACGAAAATAGCCTTGGCGCGCGCACGGCTCTGGCAGTAAAAGGCAGGTCAAAAAAAAGAAATGGTTCCGGCCGGGATCGAACTGGCGACCTTCTGCGTGTAAAGCAGACGTGATAACCGCTACACCACGGAACCACCGTGACGACCATCGCCTTCGCCGAGCGTGTTGAATCGGACGCGGCGCGTCATCGACGTGTAAAACGCGTCGATCCAAAGTGCACAATGCGCGATATTCGACTGCTCTTTCGAGAGAGCTCCGATCGCACGGACGAATTCACGGCGCGACCTACGCAATGATCTTCGACCTAACGACCTCGATCGCTCCATTTGCACGCGCTCCGCTCCGTGCTTCGTCCGGATGCGAGGCTCGCTTCGAATACGACGAGAGGCGCCAGGGCGGTCTCTCGCGTGTGCTACCCACGCGACCGGCTCGACGGACAACAGCGCTGAGCCGCGTCCAAGTGCCATGTAACGCGATCCTCATCGTTGTGTCATTTTTCGCATTCGCGTTTGTTGGCTCGTCTCGCACGGACAGATGATAAAAATAAAGAAAAAATACCAAGACACCGACGCACCACTTTACTTTTGGACCCTAAGACGCCGTTGAAGATGCAGAATTAAAATATATGTGCCTGGATGCAAAGCGGTAATTTCTTTACTAAAATGCATTTTTTTGTAAAATATTACACGTTGCCCTGTGAATAATTTAACTCTGAGAAACTCGATATTTAAGTTGCGCTACTAAACGATTTATTGGATAAATACATTGTTCACGCACGCCAGTATATCGGCGGCCTCTGATTGCAATCTAACGAGTTAATCAATACGGCAGCTTAACCGATTGCTCTTCGATAGACCGCTTTTTCCTCTTACCATCAATAGCTGCATATTCGATGATAGTAATCAGTCTGTTTTGCATTTAAATACGCCGATTTGCCAATCACTGTATTTCTTCCCCTATTTTATGCCGAGAAACATGAGTACGTTTCTTTTCCATGCCGATGCCAGCTTTGGTGTTTTTGTTGCTACTAATTTCATGCGCTGACACTCGGCGCGGAAAACAGCCGGGGATGCGAAACAATTACGATGCAGCCGCGTCTCTCGCGATCCGTCAGATCGCCGCGTTTCGAAGCTTTGTCGTATGAATCATTCATAAAGCCCTCTTACACGGCGCATGGCGTTATCAATACCATGCTACGCGAAAATAAATCGTCCCCTCCGTCGTGGATGAAGCTTTTTCGCACGACGGAATGAGATATTCCTTCGGGAGAGATGCGATTAAAACTGACGCATCGTTTCCTCGACGGAACGAGCATGGTAGGAAATCGTAAAAGCGACGACAATCACATCAGCTCGAAAATGTCACTTATTTCATTAGCTCTCATCGGGGATCCTTTGTAGCGGAAATATCAAATAAATTCCTCCTCATTTTAATCTTCGAGGTAAAAACTCCAATTGAATCTGCTAATTTAATTCTAGAAATCAGAAGCAGCGCGCGTCGCAATATAGAAGAAATTTGCTCCGTTTCATACCCGTGGAATCTTTCTGCATCGAAGATGTTCGAATTTTTCTGAAATATAATAGCAAAATGGTTGAAAATATTTTATGTAATGGAGATGGCACCGTAGAAACCGAAGCCCCCTTCGAAGCGAGCGCTAATGGCCTCATTACACTCGCGAAAGTGGGAAAATAGGAAAACTCGCGATATCGCGCAACACGCCGCGAAATTGATCTCGGGACGATCTAAGAACGATAGCGCGGAGAAGAAACGCGAACTTCTCTAATCGTCACTTTTCACGTCGCAATTACGCTCTCACCGAGCTCTCCCTTCAACTACACCACCTTCCGATAAACAAAGAACGGGTCGCGCGCTTAACGCTCCGCCAACACTCGGCCGGTTCGATCACGAGTAGTTTATCCATCTTTCGTATCCATCGCTCAGCAGTGAACTCACGATGGGAAGGAACGAGCGGCATCGACGTGCGGCCACGTGCTGCGCGCAACGCGAAACAATTTCGCGTTCGGTGCCTCGCAAAGGAAAACCCCTCTCAGCGGCCCATTAGGAAACGCGCTGGGGGATACCGCGCACCGAACAAGGCCTTACCAAGGAGTGATATTCGTAAATGTATTAAGCAACCGTGCACAATGGCCGACCAATTTGCATAAGTTATGCGCGAGAAAGTTCATTCCTCCGCCCACGGCGGCGATTCGTGTGTGCACGCACGCTCGTATATATAGACGCGCGAACACGCGACGCATTGCGTGAGCGCGGGTCGAGAGACTCGTTGCGGTCGATGCATAATCAGATGCACCGCGTAGTTTGAGGTGAGAGCGTCTGAAAAGTGCGCGCGCAGGGTCGATCGTATTTTGCACGTTGCGTTGGAAATTTCGCCGAGTCTCTCTCTCTCTCTCTCGAAAGCCACGTCGTACGATGCGATATGAAAGTCATGGAAGAGCGACAGCTTCGTGAGAGATCTAATTAAACGAAACGAGATGAATTTAGGGGGATTCATTTTCTGAGAGAATTACATAACACACATGGCCGATGCTGAAATAAAATATTCGCATCTTTAGAAATGTCGCAGATAGAGCCTGCGGCTTTTTCATTAAGAGAAGAGACGCGAGGCTCTCCAGACATTAAATACTGCAAAAACGCAGATATACAGTGAAATACCTTTCAACGAGATCCGGCTGAAATGCATCACATCTACTAGACTAGGGATAGACTTCGAGAAACGCAGAACTGATAACGGGGAATCCAAAGCGATTCCGCGCTGCGGGAGATTCGAGAAGGTGCGATTATCGAAAAATTACAGGAGAAAATTCCTCTTACGGTGTAAAGTCCGTGCAAGCTTCTACCCGGACTCCACCCGGTGCATCGTGCATCTTCCGTAACGCGAGGCGCGCGCGCGCGTGCGCGAGAGAGAGAGAGAGAGAGACCTCGTAAGGAAAAAATAGCGTAATGACGCACGCATCAGGGGCGCGGTGCGACGTAACGTAACATAATTCGTTACCGCTGTCACAGTGGAATGCAGGGTAATAATAGATTAATAAATCGCGCGCGGTTTCGATAATGGCCGATCCGTGAAATAGAGTATGTCCTTGCCGGTTGCTCGTTCGTGCACGCGCAGTGTCGCGATTCGAGACTCGCTCAATTGCAGAGCGATATATAACGAAGTTCATTACTCGACGGCGGTAATACAATTTGTTTTCATTTATTATCCATACTGCGCATATATTATACACGAATTACCCGCTGTTTCCTCGCGCTCGTGTTACCGTTATGTATGTATTACCTTTGCAAATATAGATATCGCATGTGTCTCTTTTCTCTCTCTCTCTCTCTCTCCGCATTTCTCTGAAACTGCGAGGCTAATTGCGATCGCCGGCAAGTTGACCTTGACCCATGCGTGCGTAATAACAAGAGTGCATCCCCCGGGGGAAACATCAATAGAAATACGATAATGGCCGTGTGTTACACATCGATAGCACATACGGCTTTATAAGTTTGATCAAACGGCCGCGTGCTTCAGGCCGTCGCGCGTTGTTTTCAAATAATAGCGTTGCGATCGCTCCGCTCGAACGGGGAAATGAAAATTTCTCGTGAAAATTTCGATCGACGGCACAGAGCGCGCCCGTCGAGTTGTTTCCCCGTGATTCCGTGATTTTTCTTTCCGGGAACTCGGATCATCGGATTTTCCCGTTACTCGTTTGTATCTGGTAATTATCCGACGTTCGCGCGTGTTGCTCCTCATTCCGGCGCGTTAGTCGCGCTAATTCCTATGAAATTGCAATTTCGATAAAAACACGCTGCAGTAGCTGATTACGAGTGTGGCGGGAACAATAGCCCAGCACGTGCGTCAGCGGTTGGACTCGCACGCAATAGACTGATACGGGCGGAGTATTTATGTCGTCATACGAGCGTAAACATGCGTCACAGCCAGCGATACGTTGTGAAGGGTGCTCGAGGAGGGTGAATTGTATCGAGTCCTGGCGACCGCAGCTGTATGCCAGGTGCGCCGCCAAGCCGAAACTTCGTCAGACGATGCATATCTCTCGGGATTTGAGACGCCACGGATCTCGACTGCGATGAATATTTTTTGGAAATCATATATTCGAAAGATATCGACTTGATTTCTCTCTCTCTCTCTCTCTCTCTTTGGCCGGATAAGTTTTTTTCTGTAATGACCGATGCATCTAAATAACAAGTTATCCTCAAACAGAATTTCAAAAATCGGCTTTACTGCATTTCTCTTCGTTTCGTTTCCTATCAGCTGCGTGTCGCGGCGCGCAACTCTGTGCCGCCGGCTTTCAGACTGCCCGCGCGTCGGCTCATATTTTCTGCTGAACTCGATTTTTCGTGAAATTTTCCCTCGCTCAAATTTTCGTGAGAAATCTCTTGCAACAAAATCCGGAGAAGAGCGGAAGAATTCACAAGGTGAGGACGCGATA